CAGGCTGAGGCTTCTTTGGGTGTTCAATCTGCAGAGGAAAGAAGGAGAGACAGGCAGAGAGAGCATCGTACGAAAGAGGGCAGGGAAGCAGAAAAAAGTACTCTACCAGTACCAGCAGCACAGACTATGTCAACAAATGGACAGACGTTTACTGAGCTGTGACGCTCAGAGTGGACACCAAGGGCTCTTTAGCGGACAAATAAACTAATGCCCTTTCGCACACACACACGACACACATCTGAAGCGGACCCAGGAGCAAGCAGTGACTTACATAAGAGTATCTGTTTTTGAACTTCTTCCAGTAATAGCGGTACTGGATAAAGTGCTTTGTGGACTGCTCAACGATAAAGACACATCCAGGGGAAGGGGTAACAAAGGGTTGAAGGTACAGAATGCAGGGGGAAATGAAGAGGGGTGAGGGGAGGGAATGAGACTCGGATAAGGGTGGCATGCACAACAGAGTCACAGAGCACGATTGGCAGGATGCTACGGCAGGCATTGACAGACAGGTAAGGGGGAAGTTAGATAGCGGGGAAGGAATGACCCTAAAGGGGTGAATTCTTAAACCCTAAAGCCACGTGATAGTCGGAGAGAGAGAAGCGAGAGAAGAGAGACTGGAGGAGGGACAGGATCCACCGGCTTCTGTGCGTGCCACCATGGGGAAGAGACCACGCGTCCCATGGAAGACATCACGTGGCCCACCTTGATGGTTTTGAAGAGCGCGTCCGACATGTTGTGCGAGTAGTAGGTCTCGGGGTGGAACCTCCACTGGCTCCAATCCGCCAGGGTCACCGGGAAGCGCGAGATGCCGGCCGGGTCCTTCAGCTGGGCAGAGAGACGACCAGGAGAGACGAGAGCAGGGGAAATGAATCAAAAGCACAGCGGGCATGGATCCAGCACACCGGGAGCATGCACAGCGGACATGTGTATTTTGAGTCGACTCAAAATACATCTGGACATCTGTATTTTGAGTCGACTCAAAATACACCTCAAAATACACCTGAACCAGGTGTATTTTGAGGGCACTCAAAACACACCTGAACCAACAGCACAGTGGACATGGATCCAGCACACTGGGAGCATGCTATAACACAAGTAGGAACTGGCGTTTTTTTTTAACCAATAGAGCAATCACATCACATGTGAGCAGGTCATATATTGAATTGAAATGCACACTGGGAAGCACTTGGTCGTCATGGCTGCACGGCGCAAGAGATGGTGCCGGCTGTGGGGAGTGCAAGGGCAGCGGAACCTACTGCGATGTGTTTTTGAGAATTCTAAAAAACACCCTGCAAAATCAAGGGCAGCGGAACCTACTGCGATGTGTTTTTGAGAATTCTAAAAAACACCCTGCAAAATCAAGGGCAGCGGAACCTACTGCGAGGAGGATCTGGAGGTAATGCTCGTCGGAGCAGCAGTACTTGGAGTGCTGCGCCCTCCACTGTGAGGGCAGAGGCCAGGGCCAAGGGAGAGAGGAGGGTTGGGGAAGAGGTGAGATGGTCAAACAAATCAGAGCAGCAATACTTGGAGTGCTGGCCCTCCACTGCGAGGGCAGCGGAAGGGGCGGTTGAGGAAAGAGACAGGGGGAAAGAGAGGAGGAAAAGCATAATCAGGGTATGTTCAGTGCTGCGAGGGGGAGGGGGTGAGGCCAAGGTAGGGGACAGATGTGCAAAGCTGAACGAGCTCCACATACTGCAGTGAGTCCCATAGCATCACTTGAAGCCTTTACCAATGAGGAGCCTCCAGTCGGGAAGAGCCTTAGAGCTGGCACATTCGCTGCCTGGCTGTGCTATCCCCTGTGCTACCCCACGTGCCAAGCGCTCTTCCTGAGATGAGGCCAACCGGCCATATATCCAACACAGAGGTTTTGAGGTTCACAAAGGTGGCGCCATAAACCCCCATGTCACCAAACGCCTGCCCCCCCCTTTTCCCCACCTGGCACGACTTGGAGTGGACGAGGTAGTGCTCCGTGTCCTGCACGACGAGCTCGGCGTGGCGGCGCTGCAGCACGAACCACTGGCTGCCCTTGAGGAAGTCCTTGCGCCGGATGGCCGGCATGTGGATGTCCGGCAGGTACCGCCCAAACGCCTCGTCAAACGGGTCCGTGTGCCTGGGGGGAGAAAGGGGAAGGACGAGGGAGTGGGGCGAAGGGAATATGGTTTTCCCAACTGGTATCCAACTGGTATGTGGTCGCATGTGGATGCCCACAGGTATCGCCCAAACGCCTCGTCGAAGGGGCCCGTGTGCCTGGGGGCCGTGAGGAAGGGACGGTGGGAGTGACATCAGCATTTGAGGCGCCTCAAAAGACGATGGGAGTGACATCAGCGAGGTGGCAGGAAAGGGCGGCACTGGTGCTGTGTCAGGAGCATTGACCGCATTGTGGCCCCATTTTTTGGCTCAAAGTATCTTGAAGGTATGGCAGGTCCATGTGATCCTGCGGCAAGTCAGTCATTTGCTATATCTCCCAGACGATTCATCCCCCCTCCACTACATTTGTCGCACTTTACTACGGCATGCATTGTTACAAGGGCCACCACAGCAGGAAGAGGGCGGGGGAGAGAGGAAGCTTATGGGGCGTTGGGAAAGAGTCGGAGATGCCAGCATGCATACGATGCACTTACGCCTCCACGAAGCTGATGTGCGTGCTGGCGATGTAGTTATAGACGTAGTCGAACGACCACAGCGGAATGCACCTGTTGACAGACAAGCACATGGGGCGACAATGGAAGGCAGGGGTAGACAGAGCACAGCACACGCTCCTTTGAAACGCCAGGGGAAAAGCGGAATGCCGCAGGACGAAAAAGTGCCAAGAGTACATTGAAGAGGAGGCGAGAATTCAGAAACATAGCCCTCCATGGACTCACGACTCCGAGACGAGGACGAAGTACTCGTTGCGCTTATCCGTGACGGCATACGCCAACAGCCGGCGCTCAGCCGCCACCACGGACATCCGCCCCCACTCCACCTGCACCAGCAGCAACAACGCCGTTAGGAAGAAACCACGAGAAACTCGGCATTGCGAGTAGCAAATATAACGAACCCCGAAAAGGCGCCTAAATTAGGGCGACGGGATTGGCGGGAGACAGCTAGCGGCATCGGAGCGTGAGGCGACACCATCTAGAGGCGAGGAGCGCACCTTGCCGCCAGGTATTTGCCGGTCGACGAAGACTGGCGAGAAGTTCGACGGAAGGTGAAGTTGGGCTGCGAGGCGTGCACGTACACAGCGTAGCGACCCTCGTGACCCTGGGGAGGAAGGGCGAGAACCCACGGGGGAAGCAGAACGAAGTCGCGAGAGCGAAATGCTTGATGCTGGGGAGAGTGCGCATAAAAGGCTCTAAGACGAACTCAGTCTTAGCGGAAATCGGTGGTGGCGTCATGATTTTAGAACGAGATCAGGGAACGCTCCTGGACGTCCGTACCTGGAAAAACTTCTCCCACAGAGGAGCCAATGGCAGCGGTCCACGCGTCAGGAACATGAACGCGATTCTCCCTCCCGCATCGGCGGGCTCGGCGGGAGCGCCATAGCGGATCAGAGATGTCAGTAGCGGGATAACGCCGCTGTGAGGAGGTAGAAGAAGAGAGACGAGACGAGAAACGACAGCAGGAACACCAGCGCTAGGGAGCAGATCACCCGGCATATCCTCTCCGGCAGGTAGCCCTTCAAGGGCTTCTTATCCACCAGCCTCCCGCCCTCGGAGATCATGGTCGCCTATTCCGCTTGCACTGACTGATTAAGACGATCCTGCTGCAGATGCTACGTGGAGAAGTCCTAAGTGAGTTAAAAGCACGCCTTAGAAGAACAGATGGGAGCGGCGATCCTCGTCGTCGATCTGCTAATTGGGCGCAATCTATGAGTCGTAATCGTCGTTCTGGTGTTTCCGCTGCCAACACTCCGAGAAGTTATCCATGGCTCGCGCAGCAAACATCACCGCGTTTCGATCCCTATGCTACACGGAGCCTGCAATCTCAGGCACCCTTCCGTTCAGACAGTAAAAGACAACCACGAACACGTTGACGCCACGCGCTATCGCGAGCCGAAGTCTCTCATAATCACCGTGAAATGACGTGGATGTGCTACGACCCCCCTACGATTGACATAACGGCTGCGCGGTGGTTGGAGCGAAGGAGGGAGGCGAAGTGGGAGGGGAAAAGGCAATTTTGCTGGAAGATGAGTGGGTGAGAAAATGAGGTGGGGGAATCTGCTCGCCTGGGGTGGAATCCCAAGGTGTACTTTGGGATGATCACTATCTGGGGGATTTACCACCAGGACTGCTGGGCTCTCAGGTTCGGAGTGAGCCACAGGGGAGCTGGGAAATTTTCTCACCTGCTAATGTATTGGGGTTCAACCAGCCAAGCCAGCCGAACCATTCGTTAGTCAAAATAGCTCGGGCCGAACCATTCCGGGGCAAAGCTAAAGGCTCGTCACAAGTTTCGGATTTCTATGGTTCGGTTGTCGAAGCTACATCTGTCGAGGCATATTTGCAGCCCTGTACAGTGTACTCCAAGGCTGAAAACCAGGTGCCCATACCGGCTGCGAACTTGACCGGTACCGCTTCCACGCAAAGCAGAGAGGCGAAGCGCCTTACTCAGGCTCGATGACCCATCAGCTGTACGCATCAGTAAAGCCTTCGATATTACAACAGTTTGTGCACCAAAACATGTGCTGCTGTAACTCAGCAAAAATATGTTCCAATTCAATTTCACCATCCGATAATCTCGAGACAATTTCTGGAGTAGCGCAGTATGGAGCCTGGTCGCAAGTCAGGTCCACTCCGAGGGAGCTCATCTGGAAGCTAGGGCGTGGTACATACGATCACGAACGGGGCGCCGTTCGAACGGTCAGAACGGTACAGTAATCTCGAAAGCGGCTTTGGCGTGTTTTAGACAGATAATCGCGTGGTACAGTGTGGTCGAGTTACGTGATTGGGAATTCGTGATTGTATGTACCACGCCCTTGGTCTGCAAGTGACTCAACACCATAGCCATAGAATGACTTGACTAAGCTCGTCGCACGCATTACGGCCGTGGATCTTGAGTTCCACGTTAGCGGGACGGTTGTTGCGATTCTACGCTGAGAGCAATTTGCTAGCCCTGGTAGGACATTGGTCCGACGCAGTCAGTCCGGCGTGCAGAACAGACCGATAACAGACGGAAAGATAGACTCCGCTCTTGTGGCTCGTTGAGAGTTACCTGCGCGCCGGTCGAACATTGATCGGTTCGGCGAAGTCTGGACGAGCAGACAGGCAGACGGACAGGCCGGTCGACAAGGACACGCACAATGGGTTAACTAGGCAAACGGAGAGAGAGCAGATTGCGGTCGGACTGAAGGAGAGAGCGCTAGGCAGACGGCGGATTCAGGGCGAACTGCATCTGCGGACGCGTAGATTAATCTGGAGCGTGGGCCATGGAGCCGGACGGAAGCATCGAGTCGGCGTCGGTGATCCGCGTGGTGGTGCTGCAGGTCGGGAGATCACCGCCTCGGCGTTCCGCAGCTACTCCAACCTCATCATGAAGCACAGGTGGGGCACAGGTGGGGTACTCCAGCCTTACAGCGAAGCACAAGTGAAATCTGGCGGTTCCGCAGCTACTCCAGCCTCATCATGAAGCACAGGAGGCGTTCCGGGGTACTCCAGGCTTATAGCGAAGCACAAGTGAAATCTGGCGTTCCGCTGTTACTCCAGCCTTATCATGAAGCATTGGTGTGGCCAGGCATTCCGCGGATATTCCATGAGGCCAGTAGCTCGGCCATCTTTCATCCGGTCCCTCACCCCCCCTCGCATCCTTCCCGCACATCCTTTCCTCATTGCCCCTCTCCAGGGTGATGCCCCTGCAGGGCGTGTTCGGATACTACAAGGAGCACCAGAAGAGCCCCTTCTCGCACCAGGTTCGACCCTTCCCTGTGCCTTCACCCTCACGCCTCTGAAATGCGCCTCCAAGACTTCGGTCAGCTTGTCTCCTATCCCTCTTCCGTCCTGTGCTTCTCGCCTTTCTTCTCCTCATATCTCACTCACTCGCCCCATTACCCCTCTCCTCTCCGTCCAATCTCATTACACTGCGACTCGCCACCTCCCCCGCCCTCCCTCCCTGCCAGCCATGGTCGTCAGGATCGCTGCGTTTCAACTTCATCTTGGGAGGCAGCAGCCGCAGCCCCTGGCAGGAGTTTGTGGCGCAGAGAAAGGTACATCGTGGTGTTGTATTGGGTAACGGATCAGGTTTTAAGAGGTTGACTGAATGGGTCAGGGCCAGCAGCTGCAGCCCCTGGCAGGAGTTTTGTGGCGCAGAGAAAGCAGGGTATTGTAGCAGAACAGCTCTTAAAAACCGCGGCCCAAAACGTACTTTGAGCAACGGTTCTGGCGAAACAGTAAAAAAAATCGCGAGTGTGGTTTCTCGTGAAATGGATTTGGTGCTTCGCACACCGTCAGATCTGACAGCAACGGTTTCGACGGTTGTGATTCTGAAAAGTTGGGTTATCGATCGTTGGATGAGCAGGCTGCAAGGTCTGACGGTCCAGGTTTCTCTGGTTTGCAGAGCTCCAAAACGCAGCTTACCTCCAACTTGAAAGTGAACTATCGCCAACACAAGTATGGTTACGCGGCACTGTTCAGCTTATTTCAAACGCACTGCGTTTGAACGGTGCGGCTTGCAATTTGGGCCGCGAGGGGTATAGACGGAAACAGGAGCACAAGTTGCAGCTCCTGGCAGGAGTTTCATGGCGCGGAAGTTGGTAGAACGAGGGGCGAAGGGTTCACGGCAGCTAATCTGCCTCCAAGGGCGCCAAGAGTGTAAGATCAGTGTATCACCGCACCTGGAATATCACGCCTCTTTATTCACCCTCCTCCCCGTCTCCACCCTCCCCTCACCTCCTCTCCCTCCACGGGGCCGAGCAGATCCACGGGGTGATCGGCGTGTGCCACTGCCCGCGCATGCCTGACATTGCAGCAGCCTACGAGGAGTTTGTGCTGGCGTGCAAGGCGTACCCCCTGGCGCAGGTCAAGCGCTGCATCGCCTTCGACCCCAACACGGAGCAGGTGGGGTGAGGGGGGGCGTGCGTGGCAGCGCCTGGGTGGTAGTGAGGAGTGGACGGAAGAAGTTGGTGCTGGCATGCTGGGTGAGCGCCCTGGCGCAGGTCAAGCGCTGCATCGCCTTCGACCCCAACACGGAGCAGGTGAGGGGTGGTGGGTCAGGCAAGGGAAGCTTTGCTGCTGCGCTGAATCGCTGCGTGTGGTCCGTTGCCGCATTCCATCCGTCGCTGTCTGTGTCCCACCCGTCATCCCTCGTGCCTAATCCTAGTGCTTGTGATTACCCCCCTTGTTCCTTCGGCTCAGCACTGTCCCACCCACCCTCACCCCCCCAGCAAGGGGAGGAGGACTCCCAGTGGCGCAACCTGGTGATTCTATCGGGTGTGGACCAGCAGCAACTGACGTCTGCTCTCCCAGTGTTTGTTATTAGCCCCCTTTGTCCCCCTATGCTGTCCCACCCACGGTCCCCACCCTCACACCCCCGCTTCCCCCCCCCCCCCCAGCTGGCGGAGGAGGACCCGCAGCGGCGCAACCTGGTGATTCTGTCGGGGGCGGACCAGCAGCGGCTGGAGGCGCTGCTGGTGTCGGTGATGCACGACTTTGCGGCGTGCGTGCTCATGGCGCTCGAGAGCTGGGTGCTGCACGTCGACCCCATCGCTGCCATCTTCCTCTCGCCGCTTGATAACCCCAACGTCACGCCCAACGAGGATGTGAGTCACAACGCAACGCCACACCCAACGAGGATGAGTGGGCTTGAGGCGTCTCAACGAATGACTTGGTGGCGTGTGCGCTCTTGGCATTGGGGAGCTGGGTGCTTTTCAGATTTCAACCTCTCTTCGATTCCAGCCACCCAGAAGGCCGTCGGCCGTTGGCCGTTTGTACCGCATTTGCACTACAGCGTGGCTTGCGGCTCTCTCATTCTGCTACTGCCCTTGCCACCATCCTCTTGTTCCCCTCCCTCCCCCACTTGCCTTCCCTCCCAGGCAGCCAAGCTGAAGAAGAAGCGGCTGGCGCGCATCCAGAAGGGCATATGCAACGACTGCCTGCTGGCTGCGCTCCTGTTCGCCTCACTCTCTCTCCGTGCTTTTCACCTCCTCCCTCTCCTGCCTTCCCTTCATTCCCCAGGCGGCGAAGCTGAAGAAGAAGCGCTTGGCGCGCATCCAGAAGGCCATCGGCGACTACTGCCTGCTGGCAGGGTCCCCTCTGGACGCGCGCAGCCACTACGGCAACCGCCATCGAGCTCGGCCGCCTCACCAACAGCGGCGACCCGCTCTGGCTCGCCGGGGCCCTGGAAGGACACGTCAGCACCCTGGCGGTGAGAGAGGGGGGGGGGTTGGAGTTGGGGTTGGGGGGGAGGAAGGGAGGGAGGTTGGTGGAGAAGGAAGGGGGAGGGAGGGTGGATGTGGTCCAGGAAGCGTTTTTAACTTTTATGCATTGAAGCAGTAACAGTAGTATGGGCTCAAGGGAAGGTGCTGTGTGTGGTGCTCCAAGGTGCGTGCAGGTGGAGAAGGGGCGATGGGACGAGGATCTGGAGGAGGAGATTCCGCACCAAGTACAGCGAGATCGTGCCGTTGTACCGCAAGTGAGTACAGCGAGATCGTGCCGCTGACACGGGCTATAACGAGTTTTGCAGGTGTGAAGACTCGAATGCCCCTGTTTCACTGCTGTTGCAAGTGCATGGCATGGTTTTTGAGGCGCCTCAACGCATGGCAATGCTTAAGACCGCCCTGCTGCTCTCCCTTGCTCCTCCCTGGCAGGGCGGGCGCCATGATCTTTGAGTTGGAGGCGCTCATCAAAGTCGCCAGATTCATCTGCCGGTCAGTATGTCTCTTGCACCCCGCACGCTCCTCACATGACATTGCCTCCCGTTGTCCCTACCACTTCGACCTATCCTCCTTGTCCCTAGCCTCGTCCTAGCCTCGTCCTAGCCTCGTCCCTAGCCTCCTCGTCCCTAATCGCCCTGCCCACCTGGTTGCTGGTGTGCTGCCTGAAAGAGGAGCTGTAAGGCACAGGGGCACCGCATCCCGTGCCTTGCCATCTGTTCTCTTCCCCGCATCCCTTGCTGCTGCAGCACGGCCACGGCATTTGCTGGCACAGGATGCGGTGCATTTGCTGGCACAGGATGCTGTGCATTTTCTGGCACAGGTTGCGGTGTACCTGCTGGCACAGGATGCGGTGCACCTGCTGGCCCAGGCAATGGCGACGGGCAGAGGGCTGTTTCTCGGTAGTAGTGAACTCTGACTCATTTTCGCCCACGCCCCCCTGCCCGTCCCTCTCCCCTCCTTCCTGCGTCTCACTGCTGCGTTGGGCAGCAAGGAGATGGCACGGGACGTGGTGGACCTGCTGGCCCAGGCGGTGGAGACAGGCAGAGGGCTGCAGAACCCCAGCGACCTGCTCGTGCTCTACATCGAGGTGCGACCTGCTCGTGCTCTACATCGAGGTGCAACCTGCTCGTGCTCTACATCGAGGTGCGACCTGCTCGTGCTCTACATCGAGGTGCGACCTGCTCGTGCTCTACATCGAGGTGCGACCTGCTCGTGCTCTACATCGAGGTGCGACCTGCTCGTGCTCTACATCGAGGTGCGACCTGCTCGTGCTCTACATCGGGGTGGGACGCCTTGCTCGTGTGCATGCACATGCAACCCCTCCCCTCCGCGCCCCCCTCCCCCCCCCCACGACCACACCACACATGCATGTGGGCATGCATGCTGGGCTACACCCTCAGACCTCAGAAACCTCTCCCGTGCCCCCCCCCCTTCCGCCCAGGTGGCGCTGCGCAGCTGGGCTGTGAGTGCACACAGGGAAGCTGCATCTGTTATCCTCTGTTTCCCCTTTCCTTCCCCCCCCCCCGTCCTCCCAGGCGGCGCACATACTCCAGCAGCTGGGCCATGAGCAAGGATGGAGTGGGATGCATCCGTTCTCCCGCTGCTTTCCCTTTCCCCACTCCCCCTCCCTCCCTCCCTCCCCCCATCTCTCCCCCCCCCCCCCCCCCCCCAGGTGGCGCGCATATTCCAGCAGCTGGGGTACGAGCGCAAGGCAGCCTTCTTCACGCGCCAGGTGGCCAAGCTGTACGAGCAGCAGGAGTCAAGATTCGCCGCTGTCAGCGCGCTGCAGGTCAGTGCTCGAGCTGTGCTCGCACTCTGCTCCGCACTCTACTCCCGGTGCAAGCGGCCCTTGTGTGGGCAGACATTGCTGCCGTCAGTGCGCTGCAGCATCAACATGGAGTTTGTTTGTACACGGCTATTGCATGACTCGTTCAACCTGCAGCAGCAACAAAGCCCCACCCATCGCCCCGTCACCCCCGCAGGTGCTGGCCCTGGCGTCCTCGTCCTACAAGGTGCAGTCCCTTGCGCTCTCCCCCGTGCTCGCCACCCCCGCTGCCACAGCAGGAACAGCAGCAGCAGGCGCAGCAGCAGGGGAGCAGGAGCAGGAGCAGGCGCAGCGAGCGGGAAGGGAGCAGGGAAGAGCAGCAGGGGCGGCGGTGACTGCAGCGGAGAGCAGTGGCGCCGCCTCTGGGCGGGGGCCAGTGGAGCCGGCTGCAGATGGAGGTGCTCAGCGACCTGCTGGCTGTTGCCGTGCGGGCTGGCGACCCCTTGGCCGCATGGGCCGCTGCTGCCAGGCTGCTGAGAGGCTTCTACCCGCTCATTCTGCCGCAGAGCCAGGTGGGACCGGTCTGGATCGTTTGAGCGCGCAAACCACAAGGTCATGAGGAACTCCCCATCCTGGTTCGCCTCCTTCCTGCACAACCGCCTGTTGCTCGCCTTCCCCCCCTTGACCTGCCTCCCCCCTCTTTCCTGTGCGTCTTCTGCTGTCCCATCAGGTGTCTCTAGCCCAGGCGCTCACATCAGCCAGTGAGAGGCTGCCAGCTGGCACGCGCTGCCCGACCTCGCTCTTCCCTTCGTGAGGTTCCATGCGTTCGCCACGGCCCCGCAGCAGACCCAGGTGGTGAAGCGGGTGCGCGGGAAGCGCGACTGGTGGGTGGGGGCGGGCGGGGGGGGGGTCCGTTCATCTACACGCCCTTCACGACGCGCGCCGCCAATGTGAAGCCGGACATGGTGTGGATCGTGGGAGAGGTTGCGCAGGTCATTGTCGAGCTCTCCAACCCCTGCGCCTGTGCCGTCGACATTGAGTCCATCTATCTGAATGTTGACGGGGACTTCCACGCGTTTCCTGCATCGCTCTCGCTTCGCCCGAACACGTACTCACACCTGCTGACGCTGTCGGGGTTGCCTCGGTCCCCTGGGGTGATCACGGTGCAGGGCTGTTTCCTGCAGTCGTTTGGCGTGCTCACGGACCATCGATTTGGCCGATACGACGATCACGACCGTTGCTGCCGCGGCAGGAGTGCGGGGTCGGGAGCAGGGCTGCCATTGATCCTGGCGTGGGTCTGGTGGATCCGTTTTCGCCCGCTGCTGCTGCGTCCGTTTCCGCTAACTCTGCTGCCGCAGTGGCGACTGCTACCCCTCTCTCCGCCCTACTCTCTCTGCCACTTCCTCTTTGTCTGCTGCTGCAGCAAGTGTTGACACTGCGGTTAAGAGCGGTGCCAGTGCCGGGCGGGGATTCTGGCCTCTTCTCCCATCCCGTCCACCTCTGTCCTGCCCGTGCTCGATATTTCCGTGCTGCCCGAACTCCCGTTATTGGTCGCAACTGCGGAGGATGGTGATGGGGCAGCTGCCGTTCTTTTCGATGGGGAGGTCAGGGAAATCTCGGTCAGGCTGGTAAATTCCAGCCGCGTGCCCGTAGTGGACGCCCATGTTTCTGTGGCAGGCAGGCAGAAGCGGCACCTGATCGTTCTCGGGCAGGAAAAACTTGCAGCAGCGTTGCCCCTGCTTCCCGAGCTGCAGTCACTCTGCCCGTGAAAATCGTGGCGCAATTCCAGCCTGAGAGTTCGGAGGACGACGAGGATGACGTGGGAGGAGAGGGGGGCGGGGGAGGGGAGCAGAGCACGAGCAGCAAGGAGGAGGATACAGTGAACCTGGTCGTGCACTATGCTGGGCCCGACAAGGACCCTGAGAAGGAACCTGACACCCCTGCAGCAGCAACCCCTTCCTCAAACCCCCCACCACCCTCCTCCTCCTCCTCCTCCTCCTCCGCCTCCAAGGGCAAGGACAAGGATGATTCGGTCCAGGGCGCCGGCCTGTCCTTCCCCATCAACCTCTGTGTGCGCCGCGGCCTCTCCCTCGTGCGCGCGCGCCTGCTCGTCACAGGCGGCGTCACTCCCGCCGTGCAGTCAGACGGGGGGGTCAGCAGCACTGGTGCTGGCGGTGGCGGTGCTGCTGCCTCCCTTGCTGCTTCTGGTGGCCGCAGCGGTGGTAACCCGGTAACTGGGGCTGGCTCAACTTGGGGCTCGCAAAGTAAGGGTGGAGGAGGGGGAGGAGGGGCGGCAGTGAGGAGGGGAGTGAGTGGGGAGGGGGGGAGGGAGATAGAGGTGCCGGTGCGGCAGGCCAAGGGGCTGCGGCTGCTGGATCTGGAGGTGTGGAACGGCACTGACTCTGCCTTTGATGTCTCTGTGCTCGTTGACCCCCCTGCCTCCCACAATCAACCAATGACCGCCGCTGCTGCTGCCGCCTCTGGTGCGCCAGCCACTGGAGCAGCTGCCAGAGGAGCGGCAGCAGCAGCAGCAGCAGCACAACCAGCAGCATCAGCTGCATCAGCAGCATCGGTGTCACTCCTGGCGTCCAGCCAGCTGCCTCCCTTGTCCAACCTGCAGGCGTCCCTGGAGGAGACCGCCGTCCTCGCCTCGGGGGGCTCCGTCTCGCACTCGCGCATCGGACGAGACTGTGCCGCCCGCCTCCTCATCCCGCTCGGCGGATTCGATTCTCTCCTGGGCTCCGAGGCGGAAGCCGCCCTGGCGGTGCTGCACCACGAGGAGCAATCGGGCGGCGACACCACGGTGCGGCGGCAGCTGGCGCTAGGCCTGGGCCCGATCCCGTCCCCGTTCACAACCATCATCAACGCCATCTGCTCGCGTGTGAAGGTACGGTGGCTGTCGGCGCGCAACTGCCGTGGGGAGGTGCGAATCCGAGAGGCGGTGAGAGCCGTGGTGGAGAGCCAGGCTGTCTCCGTGCTGCTGCCCGACCCCCTGGCATTCTCGTTTAGGGTCACAGCACCTCCTGTGACTGGTGCTGGTGGTGCTGGTTCTTCTGAGTCGACTCACTTGGCGCTGGCGATGAATGCCGAGGCTGGTGCTGCAAGGGATGGTGGAAGGGAAGGCGTTTCGGGTGATGGGGGAGGGGGAGGATGTGGAGGAGGAGGGGGCGCGGGGGCGGGGTTCAGTGTGACAAGCGCGCTGGAGTTTACCACAGTGGAGCTGATGGTGACCAACCAGAGCAAGGGCAAGCTGGCCGTGAGCGTGAGTGTGACATGTCGCGACGTGACTGGCGAGACGTGCGTGGGAGAGGCCACTCCGAAGCAGCACGTCATGTGGGCAGGTGGGTCGTGCAAGCAGCACGTCATGTGGGCAGATGGGTCGTGCATGCAGCACGTCATGTGCGCAGGTGGGTTGTGTAAGCAGCACGTCATGTGGGCAGGTGGGTCGTGCATGCAGCACGTCATGTGGGCAGTTGGGTCGTGCATGCAGCACGTCATGTGGGCAGGTGGGTCGTGCATGCAGCACGTCAGGTGGCAGGTGGGTCGTGCATGCAGCACGTCATGTGCGCAGGTGGGTCGTGCATGCAGCACGTCATGTGGGCAGGTGGGTCGTGCATGCAGCACGTCATGTGGGCAGGTGGGTCGTGCAAGCAGCACGTCATGTGGGCAGGTGGGTCGTGCATGCAGCACGTCATGTGGGCAGGTGGGTCGTGCATGGCAGCACGTCATGTGGGCAGGTGGGTCGTGCAAGCAGCACGTCATGTGGGCAGGTGGGTCGTGCATGCAGCACGTCATGTGGGCAGTTGGGTCCGTGCATGCAGCATGTCATGTGGGCAGGTGGGTCGTGCATGCAGCACGTCATGTGGGCAGGTGGGTCGTGCATGCAGCACGTCATGTGCGCAGGTGGGTCGTGCATGCAGCACGTCATGTGGGCAGGTGGGTCGTGCATGCAGCACGTCATGTGGGCAGGTGGGGTCGTGCATGCAGCACGTCATGTGGGCAGGTGGGTCGTGCATGCAGCACGTCATGTGGGCAGGTGGGTCGTGCATGCAGCACGTCATGTGCGCAGGTGGGTCGTGCATGCAGCACGTCATGTGGGCAGGTGGGTCGTGCATGCAGCACGTCATGTGGGCAGGTGGGTCGTGCATGCAGCACGTCATGTGGGCAGGTGGGTCGTGCAAGCAGCACGTCATGTGGGCAGGTGGGGTTGTGTAAGCAGCACGTCATGTGGCAGGTGGGTCGTGCATGCAGCACGTCATGTGGGCAGTTGGGTCGTGCATGCAGCACGTCATGTGGGCAGGTGGGTCGTGCATGCAGCACGTCATGTGGGCAGGTGGGTCGTGCACGCAGACGTCATGTGGGCAGGTGGGTCGTGCAGGCACGTCATGTGGGCAGGTGGGTCGTGCATGCAGCACGTCATGTGGCAGGTGGGTCGTGCATGCAGCACGTCATGTGGGCAGGTGGGTCGTGCATTCAGCACGTCATGTGGGCAGGTGGGTCGTGCATGCAGCACGTCATGTGGGCAGGTGGGTAGTGCATGCAGCACGTCACGTGGGCAGGTGGGTCGTGCATGCAGCACGTCATGTGGGCAGGTGGGTAGTGCATGCAGCACGTCATGTGGGCAGGTGGGTAGTGCATGCAGCACGTCATGTGGGCAGGTGGGTAGTGCATGCAGCACGTCATGTGGGCAGGTGGGTAGTGCATGCAGCACGTCATGTGGGCAGGTGGGTAGTGCATGCAGCACGTCACGTGGGCAGGTGGCTCGTGCATGCAGCACGTCATGTGGGCAGGTGGGTAGTGCATGCAGCACGTCATGTGGGCAGGTGGGTAGTGCATGCGCACGTCATGTGGGCAGGTGGGTAGTGCATGCAGCACGTCATGTGGGCAGGTGGGGTAGTGCATGCAGCACGTCATGTGGCAGGTGGGTCGTGCAAGCAGCAGTCATGTGGGAGGTGGGTAGTGCATGCAGCACGTCATGTGGGCAGGTGGGTAGTGCAGTGCAGCACGTCATTTGGGCAGGTGGGTCGTGCTTGCAGCACGTCATGTGGGCAGTGGGTGTGCTGCAGCACGTCATGTGGGCAGGGTGGGTCGTGCATGCAGCACGTCAATGTGGGCAGGTGGGTCGTGCATGCAGCACGTCATGTGGGCAGGTGGGTCGTGCATGCAGCACGTCATGTGGGCAGGTGGGTTGTGTAAGCACGTCATGTGGGCAGGTGGGTCGTGCATGCAGCACGTCATGTGGGCAGTGGGTCGTGCATGCAGCACGTCATGTGGGCAGGTGGGTCGTGCATGCAGCACGTCATGTGGGCAGGTGGGTCGTGCACAGCACGTCATGTGGGCAGGTGGGTCGTGCATGCAGCACGTCATGTGGGCAGGTGGGTCGTGCATGCAGCACGTCATGTGGGCAGGTGGGTCGTGCATGCAGCACGTCATGTGGGCAGGTGGGTCGTGCATGCAGCACGTCATGTGGGCAGGTGGGTCGTGCATGCAGCACGTCATGTGGGCAGGTGGGTGTGCATGCAGCACGTCACGTGGGCAGGTGGGTGCATGCAGCACGTCATGTGGCAGGTGGGTAGTGCATGCAGCACGTCATGTGGGCAGGTGGGTAGTGCATGCAGCACGTCATGTGGGCAGGTGGGTAGTGCATGCAGCACGTCATTTGGGCAGGTGGGTCGTGCTTGCAGCACGTCATGTGGGCAGGTGGGTCGTGCATGCAGCACGTCATGTGCGCAGGTGGGTCGTGCATGCAGCACGTCATGTGGGCAGGTGGGTCGTGCATGCAGCACGTCATGTGGGCAGGCGGGTCGTGCAAGCAGCACGTCATGTGGGCAGGTGGGTTGTGTAAGCAGCACGTCATGTGGGCAGGTGGGTCGTGCATGCAGCACGTCATGTGGGCAGTTGGGTCGTGCATGCAGCACGTCATGTGGGCAGGTGGGTCGTGCATGCAGCACGTCATGTGCGCAGGTGGGTCGTGCACGCAGCACGTCATGTGGGCAGGTGGGTCGTGCATGCAGCACGTCATGTGGGCAGGTGGGTCGTGCATGCAGCACGTCATGTGGGCAGGTGGGTCGTGCATGCAGCACGTCATGTGCGCAGGTGGGTCGTGCATGCAGCACGTCATGTGGGCAGGCGGGTCGTGCAAGCAGCACGTCATGTGGGCAGGTGGGTTGTGTAAGCAGCACGTCATGTGGGCAGGTGGGTCGTGCATGCAGCACGTCATGTGGGCAGTTGGGTCGTGCATGCAGCACGTCATGTGGGCAGGTGGGTCGTGCATGCAGCACGTCATGTGGGCAGGTGGGTCGTGCACGCAGCACGTCATGTGGGCAGGTGGGTCGTGCATGCAGCACGTCATGTGGGCAGGTGGGTCGTGCATGCAGCACGTCATGTGGGCAGGTGGGTCGTGCATGCAGCACGTCATGTGCGCAGGTGGGTCGTGCATGCAGCACGTCATGTGGGCAGGTGGGTCGTGCATGCAGCACGTCATGTGGGCAGGTGGGTCGTGCATGCAGCACGTCATGTGGGCAGGTGGGTAGTGCATGCAGCACGTCATGTGGGCAGGTGGGTAGTGCTTGCAGCACGTCATGTGGGCAGGTGGGTAGTGCATGCAGCACGTCATGTGGGCAGGTGGGTCGTGCATGCAGCACGTCATGTGCGCAGGTGGGTCGTGCATGCAGCACGTCATGTGGGCAGGTGGGTCGTGCATGCAGCACGTCATGTGGGCAGTTGGGTCGTGCATGCAGCACGTCATGTGGGCAGGTGGGTCGTGCATGCAGCACGTCATGTGGGCAGGTGGGTCGTGCACGCAGCACGTCATGTGGGCAGGTGGGTCGTGCATGCAGCACGTCATGTGGGCAGGTGGGTCGTGCATGCAGCACGTCATGTGGGGGCCAGGTGGGTCGTGCATGCAGCACGTCATGTGGCGCAGGTGGGTGTGCATGCAGCACGTCATGTGGGGCAGGTGGGTCGTGCATTCAGCACGTCATGTGGGCAGGTGGGTAGTGCATGCAGCACGTCACGTGGGCAGGTGGGTCGTGCATGCAGCACGTCATGTGGGCAGGGTGGGTAGTGCATGCAGCACGTCATGTGGGCCAGGTGGGTAGTGCATGCAGCACGTCATGTGGGCAGGTGGGTAGTGCATGCAGCACGTCATGTGGGCGGGTGGGTAGTGCATGCAGCACGTCATTGGGCAGGTGGGTCGTGCTTGCAGCACGTCATGTGGGCAGGTGGGTCGTGCATGCAGCACGTCATGTGCGCAGGTGGGTCGTGCATGCAGCACGTCATGTGGGCAGGTGGGTAGTGCATGCAGCACGTCATGTGGGCAGGTGGGTAGTGCATGCAGCACGTCATGTGGGCAGGTGGGTCGTGCATGCAGCACGTCATGTGGGCAGGTGGGTAGTGCATGCAGCACGTCATGTGGGCAGGTGGGTAGTGCATGCAGCACGTCATGTGGGCGGGTGGGTAGTGCATGCAGCACGTCATTTGGGCAGGTGGGTCGTGCTTGCAGCACGTCATGTGGGCAGGTGGGTCGTGCATGCAGCACGTCATGTGCGCAGGTGGGTCGTGCATGCAGCACGTCATGTGGGCAGGTGGGTCGTGCATGCAGCACGTCATGTGGGCAGGTGGGTCGTGCAAGCAGCACGTCATGTGGGCAGGTGGGTTGTGTAAGCAGCACGTCATTGTGGGCAGGTGGGTCGTGCATGCAGCACGTCATGTGGGCAGTTGGGTCGTGCATGCAGCACGTCATGTGGGCAGGTGGGTCGTGCATGCAGCACGTCATGTGGGCAGGTGGGTCGTGCACGCAGCACGTCATGTGGGCAGGTGGGTCGTGCATGCAGCACGTCATGTGGGCAGGTGGGTCGTGCATGCAGCACGTCATGTGGGCAGGTGGGTCGTGCATGCAGCACGTTCATGTGCGCAGTCTGAGGTCGTGCATGCAGCACGTCATGTGGGCCAGGTGGGTCGTGCATGCAGCACGTCATGTGGGCAGGTGGGTCGTGCATGCAGCACGTCATGTGGGCAGGTGGGTAGTGCATGCAGCACGTCACGTGGGCAGGTGGGTAGTGCATGCAGCACGTCATGTGGGCAGGTGGGTAGTGCATGCAGCACGTCATGTGGGCAGGTGGGGTAGTGCATGCAGCACGTCATGTGGGCAGGTGGGTAGTGCTTGCAGCACGTCATGTGGGCAGGTGGGTAGTGCATGCAGCACGTCATGTGGGCAGGTGGGTCGTGCAAGCAGCACGTCATGTGGGCAGGTGGGTAGTGCATGCAGCACGTCATGTGGGCAGGTGGGTAGTGCATGCCAGCACGTCATGTGGGCGGGTGGGTAGTGCATGCAGCACGTCATGTGGGCAGGTGGGTCGTGCTTGCAGCACGTCATGTGGGCAGGTGGGTCGTGCATGCAGCACGTCATGTGCGCAGGTGGGTCGTGCATGCAGCACGTCATGTGGGCAGGTGGGTCGTGCATGCAGCACGTCATGTGGGCAGGTGGGTCGTGCAAGCAGCACGTCATGTGGGCAGGTGGGTTGTGTAAGCAGCACGTCATGTGGGCAGGTGGGTCGTGCATGCAGCACGTCATGTGGGCAGGTGGGTAGTGCATGCAGCACGTCATGTGGGCAGGTGGGTCGTGCATGCAGCACGTCATGTGGGCAGGTGGGTCGTGCATGCGGCACGTCATGTGGGCAGGTGAGTCGTGCATGCAGCACGTCATGTGGGCAGGTGGGTCGTGCAAGCAGCACGTCATGTGGGCAGGTGGGTCGTGCATGCAGCACGTCATGTGGGCAGGTGGGTCGTGCTTGCAGCACGTCATGTGGGCAGGTGGGTCGTGCATGCAGCACGTCATGTGGGCAGGTGGGTAGTGCATGCAGCACGTCATGTGGGCAGGTGGGTCGTGCATGCAGCACGTCATGTGGGCAGGTGGGTGGTGCATGCAGCACGTCATGTGGGCAGGTGGGTGGTGCATGCAGCACGTCATGTGGGCAGGTGGGTAGTGCATGCAGCACGTCATGTGGGCAGGTGGGTAGTGCATGCAGCACGTCATGTGGGCAGGTGGGTGGTGCATGCAGCACGTCATGTGGGCAGGTGGGTAGTGCATGCAGCACGTCATGTGGGCAGGTGGGTAGTGCTTGCAGCACTGCTGCTTTGTTCTTCAATGATCCACGTTGAGGTAGCCCATGCTGGTGTCCACTTGTTGTGCATCGCCTTGTACAGCCACATGCAGGTGCTTGGTAATCTCCTCACACACCACATGCCCACTCTCCTTTTCCCATTTACATGTCAATCACACTCATTCTCACTACTCATCCACGTTCCATCATCTATGCCCTACTCATTCCCATCCCACAGGCACGCTGAACGGCATAGACGGCACCCTGGACCCTGGCCAGTCCCTGTTGCACCGCTTCAGCCTGTGCTTCCTGGTGCCTGGCGAGTACACTCTCTTCGCCGCTGCAGTTGTGGACAACCAGGGCCCCTCGCCCACCTCCATGCTTGCCTCGCACGCACACATGGCGGGGAAAGCAGGGCACACTCAGAACCCCAACCCCTGGTGGGCCGTGCTGGACGCGAGTAGACGGCCCCAGACCATCTGCTGCACCAGCTTGCCACACGCCATCACTGTGCTGGGTGCCACATAGTGTACACTTGCAACTTGTTATGTATATGATTCAGTTGGAAACACCACCTGATTCGCATGAGGATGGCATTGATGGTGGAGCCACATGCAAGTTGCATTGCAACTCGATGCTCATTGAAATAATACCAACATGTGCAATCAGAAACTTGAAGTTCACGCACGCACATTGATTGCCCCGTCAAAGCAGGTGGTATGCAGGTACAGATCATGTGAGCATGAACAGGATCCACTGCAGCAACCCAATACAGGTGCATCTAGGGAACTACCGCGGCTCTACCTTGGACCAAGAGAACTGCAGCAGGCCAACCAAGCCAAGCGGCCGCATTTTCCTTCAGAAGAAAACGCAGGACTGCCAGAAAATGGGAGCCCCGAGGAAACTGCCCCAGGCAGGCAAACAACAGCCTGCAGGGGAAAGACGGGATGCACATACTGGAGGATGGTTTGGCATCTGCAGCAATAGACTCCGCCTCCGCACCGCACGCACCATAGTCGGACAGGAGGCTGGCTGAGAGGAATGGGACATTCAAAACAGTGGGAGCAAGAGGCGGGCCGTTGTGCTGGTGGAAGCCCAAGCAGCTGGTGGATGGGAGCATGATGCACGCACGGAAACAGACCGCCTCGCTCACCTGTGGCATAGGACCAAGCAGCGCACAGGCACCCTTGTGAGTGCAGCTCAGGTGGCGTTGGCGCTCATTCGCGGCCCCATGAACGTCATGAAGAGCTCTCGGAAGAGCTGCCGGTTCTTCTCCTGCTCCTCCACAAACCGCTTCTGCCACTCCTCGTTGCTCTCCCGCACCACACGGATCACCTCGTCCAGCTTCTGCTCCACTGCGCTGCTCCCACCACCACCACCGCCACCGCCGCCGCCACCAGACACACCTGCCACGCTGCCACCGTTGATGCTCCCTTGGCCGCCGAAAGCGTGTCCTGGGAAGGGCATCCCTCCTGGCATGGTCCCGGGGGTGGGGAAGCCATCCTGCCCCATGCTGCCATCCCCCCCCGGGTTGATCAGCTGCCCCAGAACCCTCCCTGCGGAACAGCCACGCCCGCTGACGCATTGCCACCGCCCCCGCCACCAGCACCGCCAGTACTTCCGCCACTGCCGCCACCAGCGCCAGGATTACCAGGCGGCCCCGTGCCCTGGGGGGAAAGCAGGGGGGCGGAGAGGCCTCCCGGAGGGCCTCCACCTGCGGGGCCAGGCGGGCGGAAGTTGGAGGAGGCGGCGGAGAAGCTATGGGGGAAGACGCCTGGGGGAAAGAAACTGCCGGGGGGGAAGAAGCCTGGCGGCGGAGGCGGTAGGAAGCCCGCGGGGGATGTGAGGACGTGCGGGGGAGGCGGCATGGCGCCGTTCATTGCGCCGGGAGGGACGATGCCAACCAGACCGCTCGCATTGTTGTTCGCAGCCTCGTTCCTCGTCGCATTCCCACCGCCTGCGCTGGTTACATGGGCCTGGCTGGTAACCGACGCGCTGGGCGGCAGCAGCATGGGGTCGTTCGCGCCAGCCCCTCCCTTCGCCGTCCAGCCCTTACCGTCCGCCCGTCCGCCCGTCGCACGGGCAACCCCTTCGCCAGGAGCGTCGCTCCGCGAAGGGCTGTTGGGAGGAGAGGCCTCTGGGCTAGGGCTATCCGGAAGAAGGCTCTCCGGGCAGGGAGCGCAGCCTAGCGACTCGCTCAAGTAGCGGTCGATCCACTTGAACCACTTGGGCTTCAGCATTGGATACGCTCCTCCTCCCTCTCCGTTCTCTCCCGACGAGTTGCCCTGCTCCTGCTCCCTCAGGCGCTCCTTTAGCAGTCTATACTTGCGCTCCATGCGGTGCAGCTTCAACTTAATCGCCTCGAACGGCCGGTCAAAGGACGGCTCCTTAGTTGACCGTATGTATTCTTTAAGACGGCCATAGAAGCTCCCTTGGTGCCCGGCCGGCCGCTTCTTATACTCGTCGTTAAGTTCGAACCGTGCGCGAGCTACTAGAATCTGCTCGCGCTCGCTCCACCGCTCGTAGTCTTTAGTCGGCGCCTCTTTGACCGGAGCACCGCTGTCGGTATTCGCATCTGTTGCTGCGCCAGCGGCGCTTTCTGACATATCCGCATCCTTCGATCCCCCCTTTCTTCCGTAACCGCTTCTTCTTCTTGACGGAGTTCAATTCCGTCTCTTGTTCCACTGAGTCGTCAGCCGTGGACGGGGGCTCAGAATCTCTCTCCCGTTTCGTTGACGGAGCTCCGTCAGCTTGCTGCAATCGCGAACCGTCCGCTCCGTCAGAAGGGCTTTCCGGCGGGGGTGGATACGTCGACTGAATCGGTCCGGGAGCCTGCGAGAACGGCCTGAAGGACGCCGGAAGCGTTTGCTGATTCGAGGCGTCTGGCCGTGCAATGTCTCTCCACGCCTCCCGTGCCGTCTGCCTCTCCTCCTCGAGCTTCTCCGCCATGTAGAGAGTCAGCCATTTCCACCAGGCGGGCTTCTGAGCAACAACAGCACCCGGCTGCGCTTCCTGCTCGAGAATATCCCGGTACTTGCGCTCCAGGCGGTGGATTTTAACCTTCACCGCGTCGACTGGTCGATCCCAGGAGGCGTCCCAGGCTTTCACCAGATCCCACACCTTCTGCCAGAAGCTGGAGCCCTGCTTCCCGACAAGCTCCTTGTACTCGCCTCGCAACTCGTACCTCGCCTTGGCGATCAACTCCTCCTCGTCCTCTGTCCATCGGTAACCTGGAGCGTCACTACTCGAGCGTCTGTAAAATTTCGGAAAGATCGGAAGACCTGTCCTGCTATCTGCAACTGCGAGATTACCGTGTGCTCCAGGCTTTGCTCCTGAACCCGACATGTCTGTTGCCAGAGGTGAAATGTCACTTGCTGTTGAGAAATCGCGCGACTGAACGACAACGCCTCAGCTGTTGTGAAACGGGGGGTTCATTCTGCTGCAGATAACGGAGAGATGAAGCGGACATGTCCTGAACTCACTGCTGGCTGTTGCGATGAAACCCTAGAAAGCGGTTTCCAGGGAAAGAGTGAGGTTCTGGTGGCGTGCTGGAGCCTGGAGGGAAACAACAAGGGTGCTGGAGGGGTATGGCTGATGTGGTGAAACTCTCACACGACACGAGCTCGGTACGCGAAAAAAACTCACCTGCAGCCAGGTCGAATGAACGGCCCGATCTGCAGGATCTTGCCGCCAGAGATGATCAAGGCTCGGAGTGCAGGTCTGGGAGGAGGTTTAGGGGGAAGATCTAGGGTGCTCCGGTTTGGCTGGGCTCCTTGTGGGGTGAGGCCATCCACTCTCCGCCAGCGTGGCGTCGACGAGTGGAAGCGTACGGCCTGTCTCTCGTTTTGAGTCTGCTGACGTGTTTGATCGATACTGTATCTCCAAGAGCTGTCAACATGCTGTGAAGTTTGCATGCATACAGTGTAATTCAGGATTTCTTACTTATGTTTTTCTAATGAAAGGTATCTCTGGTTCCTTCAACATAAGTTTTCCCCATTATCACATTTGTTCTCACCTTCATTTCAAGCATCCCGCTGTCCCTAATTGGTGTGTGCCTCCGTCGCCTTCTCCTGCGGAACCTCTCTCGTCGCCCGACCCCACTAGTTTCCCAATTCCGTCCCGCGTTGATCCGTTCCGTTCGACCTGAATTCGCGAAACGCAACAGCCTCCGTTAGTAACTTAGGGTTCGTCGTCTCGCCACAACAGTAGGATTTCACTGAGCGTCGCCCGCCATGTTCAAGAAGTCGAGCAAGCCGAAGAACGTGCGGAAGCGGCAGCTGCTGAGCGAGGACCAGGACCGCGACAGCAGCAGCAGCGGCGGGGACGACGAAGATCCCTCAGGGGGCGGGAATCTCCCGCCAAAGTCGAAGAATCCGCGCCGTGAGGGCAAGCTCGCCTTCAGCTCCGCCTCCTCTCAGCAGCGCGCAGCTCGCGCCGCAGCGGCGGAAGCAGGGGAGGGGGGGAAGGACGGGACAGCTGAGGGTCCCGCTAGACCAGCAGTCAGCTTCGCGTATGAGTCGGACAGGCGCGTTCAGGTAGGGACCGCGCATCCAGAAGAGTTTACCTTGGAGCGTTCATGCTGAAGCGCGCAGGGAATGAAATAGCTGCGAAAGGGCGCTGAGTTATGCATGCATGTCCATCAAGTGAGTGCACTAGAGTGGTCGCTATGCTTCCCAGCAGCGCCGGAGACGGAACATTCCCAGCCACCTGAAAGCACTCACAGATTCTCTCCACCCCGTCCCCCTTCCTCCCCTTCCCTATCCCTCTCCCTCTCCTCCAGATGGCCTCTGACAGCCGGGCGACGGCGACGCTGGAGACGGAGACGGAGTTCGACCGCGACTCGCGCGCCATCCGCGAGAAGGTGCTCAAGCAGGCGGAGGAGGCGCTCAAGGGGCGCACGCGCGAGGGCTCCGCCGCTGCTGGCCAGCAGGGCCGCCCGGGAGCAAGAAGGAGGAGGTGTACAAAGGCATGGCGGGGTAAGCTGGTGTGCCATGGTGTGGACTGATACGCATGGCGGTGTTGCTTTCCTCCTTCCAGTTGGTTTTTTGCGCAGGTTAATACACAGATGTAGAAATTTACAGTTGGTCGTCGTCCAACTGCTTCTTCTCCTCCCCAATTATCCCTGTCCCCTCCAGCTACGCGGACCACACAGCAGGGTTCAGGCGCGAGCACACAGTGGCAAGCGAGAAGGCATCGGGCGCGCACGGCCCGCTGCGCGCCTCCACTCACATCCGATGGTCCGTCCGGTTCGACTACCAGCCGGACCTCTGTAAAGACTATAAAGAGACGGGTTATTGCGGGTACGGGGACTCGTGCAAGTTTCTGCACGATCGAGGGGATTACAAGGCAGGGTGGCAGATAGAGAGGGAGTGGCAGGAGAAGGAGAAGAGGAGGAAGGAGGCGGCAGCGATGGGGATGTTAGAGGAAGGGGAGGGAGGAGAGGGAGAGGAAGAGGAGGAGGAGGATGACGATCTGCCGTTTGCCTGCTTCATCTGCCGGCAATCGTTTGTGGACCCGGTGGTTACTAAGTGCCAGCATTACTTCTGCGAACACTGTGCTCTCAAGGTGAGGCTACGTTCAAGTGACGATGGGATATTATACTTTCTCAGGTTCTCAACTTGTTCTCCCGTAGCCTGGAACCTTAGTTGCTACAAACGCTATGTGCCCCTTTGTTTTACAGTCTGCCCGAAGTCACTTTCTCTGTCTCTCCCGTACCTCTCTCCATGCCCGTGCCTACCCCTTGCCAGCACCACTCGCGCAACAAGAACTGCTTCGTGTGCGAGCAGCCGACCCAGGGTGTGTTCAACACGGCGCATGACATCATCAAGCGCGTGAAGGAGCGTGCCGCCAAGGCAGACAAAGACAAGGGGGAGAAAGCCACAGGAGCTGGTGGTGGTGGTGATGGTGGGGATAGTGATGGTTAGAAGAAGTGACACCAATCAAGGCTGTTTTGTGAAGTACGGTTTGATGTGCTGAGAATAGTACATACCATGTGAGTTGTTTAAGAAATGTTGTTCAGGTTGCAACCTAATGGGAATTGTCCAGCGTTAAGGGGCTAAAACTCTAGAGGATGCTCTGGTTTATGTGGTGCTCCAGCAGCATGCGGCACTCTATACCCAGTTTGAAACAAAAGCTCATTAGCGGGACATTTCTGAAGAAAGCAGATCATCTCGGCCTTGCCAACTAGCCGGTCAGGAGTAGGAAGAAGCACATTCCCCGTAGCTAATCGTCCCCATAGCACGTCCCCGTGGTAGCATGCAGCACTCTATTTCCATGGAGGTCATCCGAGTCGCTCACCCTCGCGCCAGCCTGATCAACCCGTCGCTGCATTCCTCCACGGTTTCGACTTGCAACCTCTCGACCTCCCCCTAGCTTCTCCCGCGCACGCGTTCCGACGAGAGCGTTACCGCGCGTGACGTGTGAATCGCAGGCGCCTGTAGTGGTTCACCATGTAGATTCCGCAAAACGAGGCAGATTTCCGGCAGCCGACGAGATCGCTGGCAGTGCTGCGCCGATCACCATTGATAGAAGAGCGTTTGTGGCAACTTCGCTCCTCTTTCCGTTCTCCCTGAACGTCCAGGAAGCCATTTCCGAAGGTATTGTCCGAATGGCATTCGTCGTGTCCGGCTCTGGTTCTGATGTGGAACTTTGACGCGAAAGTCTGCCATGATAAATCATCGGTCTTTCTAGAGTGAGTTCAGGACGCTGTCTCCCTTCCAGCACCAAACCTCGAGTCCATTTCACCAGGCCTGTCCATACCTCCGCCATTGTCGGATGACCTCCACCTGCAGAGGAGCAGCGATCGGATGGCCTTCGGCTGTACGAGGACGCGGCGAGCCGGTTCGCCATCCGCGTGCCGGCGGCGTGGGAGCAGCGGGAGAAGGCGGGGCGCGACGGCGCTCTTCGCGGACCCTGAGAGGCGTGGCGACAACCTGGGCGTCGTCGTGAACCCCGTGCGCGTGCGATCGCTGCGCGACTTCGGCGACATCGACCTCGTCGCCACCCGGCTGCTGGACGCGGAGCGACGGAAGGTGAGGGCTGGGGTGGGATGGCCCTGTGGAGGCATGGCTGGCAATGGGAGGCATGAATAAGACTGGATGACATTTGAGTCGACTCAAAAGGCATGGATCAGACTGGATTGCACATTGACCCCCTCGCCCCGCCACACGTTGGATGGTGCCTCTCCGCCTGACATTTTCCTTCGCTGTCTCGACTTCCCCGACGTTTTCCTTCCCTTGCATTTCACCTTGGGTTGATATTCCCAAGGTGAGTTCTCAGAGTAGGTTACAGACTTTGACGACAATGCCCTATTGCAAGCATACCAGAAGCACGTTCGAAGCACAGGGGGCATCATTCCCATGCCTTTTCCTTTGTTGCCCTTTTGTCCTCCCTGGTTACGTTCCCACCTGGTAACCACCTTGTAACCACATGCAGGAAAGCACCAAGAGTGCGGAGATCTTGTCGCAGAGAGCCAAGGAGTTGCCTGGAGGCATTCCCCTGTACCAGATAGAGTACTCGCTCGCCAGCACCAGGGGCAGCAAGAGGATACTAACCACGGTGACTATAGCGGATAGGAGGCTGTACATTGTTAACATTGCGGTGGCAGATTCGCAGGACGAGCCGGTGGATCTGACCACTCTCGGCATGCTGCGCAGAGCCCTGGATTCGTTTGCGCTGCTGGGCTGAAGAACCCAACCCAAAGCTCGCCTCGTATTCCAGACTGTCACACATCCGTAACCAGCGAAAAAGGCATTCTGTAGCACAAGCCGTGTGCGGCATGCTGCCACTCAAGCCACAATGAAGTCATGCCCGATTCCCACTACAGTTGGCAGCAACAAGCGGAACCCAAGGGAGTGCTGCTTATTGCTTGTGGAATGCCCGGGAGCAGGGAGGAGACCACCACACTGAAACAACTGAGCTTGTGCTACTGCTGTTTTCTGAGTTACCCCTGACACAGGACATGTGGGAGCCTTGACGAAACATCTGCCTGTTTCAGCAAGTGCAAAATGAGCAGGCTAAGAGTCGCAATCAGCACAGGCTTGGACTAAATCACAACAATCTTGTCAAATACATCCATCAGGTTAAAGCAACCAACCAAGGCATCATGGAGCGCAGAGAACAGGTCTTTGCCATCGTCTTCAGCCCCATGCTGTTGGCCCGTAACAGCAGCAGCAGCAGCAGCACTGCCACCAGCAACACCAGCAGCAGAACCATTTTCTTCACTGCGGGCCTCAGCCCAGGACTCTGATTTCTTCACAAGCACATTCGCTTCCCCAGGCCCCCGTAGAGCCCCTGCTGCTTGGGCGACTTGACTCTCGCCACGTACCACTTCATCCGGTCCGCCACACTCACCTTGCCCGATGGGGATGCTAATGCAGATGGCGATGGAAGGGCAGAGGGGGATAGAGATGACAGGGAGGGCAGTGCTGGTGATGGTGATGATGATGATTGCACTGGTGACAACCCTGGTTGGCTGGGTAGCACTGCGGCTGATGTGGACGCCAAGGCGGATCCTGGTGCACCAGCAGCACCAGCAGCAGTGTTCTTGGTCCGCACGCGAGGGATCACCACTGTCTGCACGAGCGAGTCAAAGCGCCCCATGAGGCTGCCGCCCTCCTTCACCCCACGGGCCCCGGCTCTGCCCCACGTGCGCCCCGTCCGAGAACCCCACCACCTCCACCAGCAGCCCCCCTGCTCGTCGCGGAACTTCACTTGTGCACTCCTTGCTCTTGACGCAGCCTCGCTTGTCGACAGAAAAGCTTGAGGCCTGCGAGATGCTGCTGCTGCTGCTGCT